AGTTAGCAAATCATATGTTTGGGTTTCTCTCTCTAAACTTAGGAAACTTTCTTAATAATTATTGTCGAAAAGGGAATTTATGTCTGATATTCTTGTCTAAGTTATAATTAAAGTGTATATAAGATGCTTAATAATCGGATAGACTTTCAGTCAACTGACGTTCATTTATACACTTATGAAATAAATCGGCAATTAATAAATGATTGATTCATTGAACGGACGAATGAAAGTATTTTTACAATTCTTGACTCGTTTTCACTTTATTTTATCAAACATAAGAGTCTCACAAAAAAAGTTATAAAAGGAGTGATTTTTGATATCAATTTGCAAAACTTGTATGAATTCATTATCTCCTCAATTAATAGGTAATTATATTTGGTTTTACTTTTGGTTTTCATTTATTGCGAATTATTTTTACTTTTCTTAAATAATATTTATTTTTAAAATAATGTTTTTGTTTTAAATTTTAATGAATACACTCTAACTTATCTCTATTTAATGACTGAATCGATAACTATTAGCTAGTTAGCAAATCATATGTTTGGGTTTCTCTCTCTAAACTTAGGAAACTTTCTTAATAATTATTGTCGAAAAGGGAATTTATGTCTGATATTCTTGTCTAAGTTATAATTAAAGTGTATATAAGATGCCTAATAATCGGATAGACTTTCAGTCAACTGACGTTCATTTATACACTTATGAAATAAATCGGCAATTAATAAATGATTGATTAATTGAACGGACGAATGAAAGTATTTTTACAATTCTTGACTCGTTTTCACTTTATTTTATCAAACATAAGAGTCTCACAAAAAAAAAGTTATAAAAGGAGTGATTTTTGATATCAATTTGCAAAACTTGTATGAATTCATTATCTCCTCAATTAATAGGTAATTATATTTGGTTTTACTTTTGGTTTCCATTTATTGCGAATTATTTTTACTTTTCTTAAATAATATTTATTTTTAAAATAATGTTTTTGTTTTAAATTTTAATGAATACACTCTAACTTATCTCTATTTAATGACTGAATCGATAACTATTAGCATAAATTTTTATTTGAATTTATAAATTAATAATAATTGCTGCTAATGAAGCTGAATAATATTTCATAATTAAAATACTTACCAAACATTTAAAATTTGGCAAAATTCTTGCACATGAAATAGCAAAATTAAATCATGTGGATTTTAATTTATAAAAATATTTAATATAATTTTTAAAAGTTATTTTTGATATGTGAAATTTTTATATAAATAAGTAAATGCGAATTTTTTAGTGAATTAATTATTTAAACACTATATTTAAATACTGAATTTTAATTTATAAAAAGATTTAATATATTTTTTAAAAGTTATTTTTGATATGTGAAATTTTTATATAAATAAGTAAATGCAGATTTTTTAGTGAATTAATTATTTAAACACTATATTTAAATACTGAATATTTTTGAAATCTATTAATGTATCGGATGACAAAAATATGAATATTTTTATTTTGACAAAAACGCCGGTATTGTGGCATTGAGCCAATGTAAATATATTTATATAAATTCTTCGACTTTTATGTGATATTTCTATGAAATAAAATTCAATTATTTAAATAATTAACAACTTTATTTTCACATATTCTGTCACTTACAGTTATTTATAGTTTAATTGTCAAAATGGTTTAGTAAGTGAAAGTGTATTAAAATATCATATTACCAGTATATGCACCTATTGAAGCAATGGATAATGAGTCTAAATTGTGTCTAAATTTTCAACTAAAATGTCTATATTTGTCTAAATTAGTGATAATAGACTATTAATAGTCGTAAAAAGTGATCGATTATTAATGAGCCAGGAATGACCTAATTTTAATGCATTGCCAGTCATTTAAAGCAAATTGTTTTTGTTTACATAGTTTTCAAAGTCATATTCAAATATATGAATGAATTTTAAAGCGTTTGTCACTACAAATAAGTCTAATTAATAGTCTTAATTATAAAGCATAAGTTGTGTATTCAATATGAAAATTATGCTTTCAATTTCACTCCACAAACGGTAGTATGGCTTTCATGTGTACCCATGTTTCAAAGGCACAGTAGTTCAACATAATTTCAAAGATACCTACCTACTACCTACCTGTGCTTTCTGTGATGAATGTTTGCCGACAAACATACTGTACTGCAAAGTCCTATGTTTGAGACAACCCTCTCATTGAATGAATGCTAAGGAATTGTAATCATTAGTGAAGTGAAGAGACAAATGATTCACTCATACGATGCGCTATATATCAGAGAGATGTATGCAATCAAGTGATGATGTATTTGCTGTGAATCTCGTAATTAAAATGTTTCTAATGTTGTCTGGAGTGCCATAACTTTTGGTGTTGTTAGTTGGCGATCATTACCTCATTTACTACCTGTGCTGACCGGTTAATCATCTTTTTAATCAACACTCTTTGCCACTGATTCACAGCATTTTATGGTTGACTTTTCATCTGTAAAGAAGTTTTCAATTTTCTTCATATGAGTTGATTTGTGACCAAAAAAAGAGTTCAAATGATTTCATAGATTCCCAGTGAAAGTGCATTCAATCCATTGCTTGAGAAATGTTTGGAAAGTTTTTGCATTTGTTTAGACACTGAGTATATACCGTATAATATACTCATCGATTGCTTTATAAGATTGTGTCAAATAAATAGTATTTTCAAAATCAGTCATTTATTTCAGATAACAATCACTAGTGATGTCGACTCCGGTGTGGAAGAAGAGGTTTATCCTGATTTTCGGACTCCTGGAGAATCTGGTGTTCAGCGGCACTATCCTCGGCTGGTCGGCCATGAATTACATACTCAAGTCGGAGGGAGTCTATCAGTACGTGTGCGATGAGGTTAAGCCTCAGTTTCAGTACAAGAATCTCAACTTTTTGAACGTTTCCGAAGACACCGATAGAAGAATCAAACTGAAGAGGAATAGCGGCGAACAAAATGACGACCAATTCCTACAGAAACTGAAAACTTTAAACCAAGAGTTCGTCGACTTATTAGTGAAGGAATCTGTAAATAATGGCAAAAATATGTCACTATTGGAACAATTGGAAGCGTATCAAATTGAGACATCGTTTTCACTCATATATGTATGATATGTCACTCTTTATTTGTGTCCTAACTTACAGACAAGTTTAACAGTGTTTACTATAGTATATTATTTTCAATTATTATTATAAGCTTATTATTCAAGTCATACGGAAGTGTTAATGATTTTTCATTATTCTCACTGAACTATAAACTGATATCATTATAAAGGAAACTTATCTCTTGTTTTACCAAAGTTTAAGTTTAAGTTTAATTGAATTTTTAAGAAACAATAATTTTTTTGATAAAAAGATAACACTCTTATAATTGTTGTAATAATTGAATGAAAGTTTAAAAGTTGAAAATAATTAACACATTGAATGGGTTGATGTGTTATACAGAAACACGATGGATGTGCCGCTCAGGACAAGATTCTGAACTTGATTTTCACGATCGGAATATTCTGTATGGGTTTGTCATCATTTGTCTGGGGATTCCTTCTCGACAAGTGGGGCCTAAGGATTGTCAGACTAGTTATCGGGTATTGATTTGATAGTTTAGATTTCTATGTTTAACTGATTGTTAATTTAACTTTAAAATGCATTTTTAAAACTTAATTTCAGTGGTTTTATAACGGGTGGATCAATATTCCTTTGCTTAACCAATTCAGGTATGATATAAAATATACAGTAATTGTATAACAATTCTTATAATTACTTTATCTTTTTGTTTGAATTTGCTTTAAGCAAAAATAACTTTCGCAAACTTTTCATAATTAAAAGTAAACATTCGTGTTAATCTAATTGATAATTAATTACTTTATATTCTTTCCAATTATAGTATGATAAATGTTTTATTAGATTCACTTCGAGGTTAACCAATGTTTTTCATATTTATTTTTGAGTTATTTTTCACAGTTAAATAAACACGGTGCACTGTAAATATTAATTTGTTTTTAATGTGCAAGATATTGAGTAATATAATAATAATAATAATTAGTGGTAGGTTTTCTACTTTTTTAATTAGTTGAATGTTGATTTTTGCAATACATCGCCGTTTTGTAATGATTGATGAATTATTTTAATTAACTGCTCTTTTGTTTTTAAAAATACTTTATTTATTTAAGTTATTTCAGGGAATACTATACTTTCCCCACTGATTAAATAGATATATATTTATTTAATTCTTAAATTACTTTATTAATAATGATTTTTATTACTCTATATCTTTCAAATAGAGAGACCTTATCTACTGTTCCCAGCCGTCACCTTACTATGTCTGGGAGGAGTTCCCCTACGCATAGCAAACATGCAATTTGCGAATCTCTACCCGAAAAAGCGGTCGACTATAATAAGCCTCTATTCGGGAGCCTTTTGTGCCTCAGCTGTTGTTTTTGTTGCCCTCAAATACCTGTACGACATGGGACTGACCTACTATTCGGTGACATTACTGCTGGTCATATCCAGTCTCTCGATGTTTCCCTTCACTCTCATCACACTTCCCGCCGATTGTATTCGCGATGAATTGGATTCTTGCGATTCAAATGATAATGAATCTGAATGGTAAGAAAGCATATATTTTTATATAAAAAATTTTAACAAAAAAATAGAATATAAATCTTATTGAAGTGGATAATAATTTTATATTTTTAGTAACTTTATAAAAAATAATCCTATAATATTAATATTTATTATAAGTTTGTATTGGATTTGTGGTTATATTGGGGAGAAAAGTGAGAAAGAAATATAGAAAGAGAGTGCGAGAGAGCGACTGAATGTTTGAAACCTTGATTTAGTGTCAATTAAATCAATTAAAATGATTATGCATTCAGACAATTAAAATGTTTGACAAAACTCAGAATATAATGATAAATGAATTTTCTTTCAATTCGTCGAAACACTCGTACAAACAGGAAATATGGACAAAAAGCAACGGCTGTTATATTTAGCACCAAAAAACTAAACTCGGTTTACGATTGCCTTCAATACCATACCAATCACTGCTTCAATCAAACGAAATGTTAATTTCCGGAATTCAGACTCAAACTTGAAATTTTATTTTTAATGCTTTCATTTCAGTGTTTAATTAAGTTATTAAAATCTCTTATTTGTATTCAATTAACTGTTTCTTCTTTTTTGGTTTTTTATGGAAACGGTATTTATAAGAAATTTTATAAATAAAACCTCAATATAAACAAAACATAAACTAATAAAATATTTTCACGTGAGATCTAATATCATACTAAAATCATATGTATTTTTATCAAATTATGGAATTTTAAAAATTCAATTGCTTATTTTACTAGTTCATTTAATATGATATATTAATGTCTTTGCAATCAGTAATGTCTTATTCATAAAAATTGCGAAATATATTCATTAAGAAAATTATGAATTTGTTACACAAAACGGAATTCATTGATATATTGATTGACAATATAATAATATTTATTATAATTAAATAATGTTTTGTGGTGCTTATTAAAATTG